AATGAATTCGTGGCATATTCATAGAATAATTATTGGTAAAAATCAGATTAACAACTTCTAACATATAGTAAAGCCAGTGCGTTTCGGTAACACGTTACAACAATGGCTTTTATTTCATGTTGCTTAGCAACAAGAGTATAACTTACTATTGTCGTTAGTCTATGTTCTGAAAGTATAAGATGAAATGTATAGACAACATAACTAAAAAATATTTGTTTATTTCTTAATCTTGATTAAAAAGGTTATTTTTATTATTAAAACGCTGGTGATATAGCAGAAAACAGCTTAATTCAGAAACGATTTAAGTTTAAAACTAAATCGATATTTCTACTTTCATGATAAATTTTATGCACTTGGCTCTAGGATAGGTGATCCTATACTAGGTCTTCACTTTAGGCTTATTATACCAGCACTCACTACACTTATAAGGTTTCACAGCAATCGAACTATTCTATCTAGATAAATACAGTTTGGCTTTTATGACACCTGTTTCGAGAAATCAAGCGTGACATGACACACACACACACACACACTGACTTTTATATAGGGTAGATCATACACACCTCTTTCACTCAGAAATTATAATAAATACTATGAGCTAGGAAAGCCACAGGGTCACAACTAACATACATTTTCTTGAATCATGGCATATTTCCAAGCCGAAATTTAACAGTCGTGATAACGGACATTGCAATATCCTTAGCCTATATTTTAGGTTTTTCAAATACTTCTAATCTATTTCCCACTGTACAACTTTCTTGTTATACGTGGTTAGGGCGCTCTAGTCGCAATATGCGGGCTCGAATACCCCTCACACCAAACATGCTCGCCCTATCAGCCGTAAGGGCGTTATAATGTGACGGTCATTTTCACTATTCGTTGGTAAAAAGTAGCTCAAGAGTTGCCAGTGAGTAGTGATGACTAGCTGCTTTCCCTCTAGTCTATCACTTCTAAATTAGGGACGGCTAGCACAAATAGCCTTCGTGTAGCTTTGCGCGAAATTAAAAACAAAACAAAAACCTCTTGTTATAATAGGTTTGGTAGTGCTTTTCTACATCCTTTTTTAACACCATTAGACTACCAGGTTTCATCTTTTAAACTTAAGATATTTAAGTGTGTCTTGCCATAAACCAGTGTAGTTATCTTGAAATCACCAAAAAAAGTTCCAAATATATAGTCTACGAATTTTGTTTAAGCATAAAAGCTTATGATAAGAAAATAGTCGTCGCCTTCGTCCATTTCACATGGTTAATGTGTTTATAGTAAGGAGTAAGTATTGTGTCAAGTACATAGACAATTAGAGACAAGCATTATGACAAAATCATTAAAGCAGCGGTTCTCAATCTGTAGTCTCCTGGCTCCTTTCAAGGGTCACGGGTTCGAATTCCTGTCCCACCAAACATGATCGTCCTTTCAGCCGTGGGGGCGTTATAATGTGACGGTTAATCCCACTATTCGTTGGTAAAAGAGTAGCCGAAGATTTGGCGATGGGTGGTGATAACTAGCTGCTTTCCCTCTAGTCTTTCACTGCTAAATTAGGGATGGCTAACGCAGATAGTCCTCGTGTAGCTTTGCGCGAAATTAAAAACAAACAAACAATACTTTCAGGAGATGTGTGGAAAGGTTGCATAGTTATGGATAGAAACGGCAGTACAGTGTATAGATCTCATTTTGATTCGCTCATAAAAACGGTTGTAAAGTTAGAGAAATAATCGAACCTTACTCTATAGATAATGATTTCAATTTTTTTTAAATTTCAGCTAATGTTTCGCACTTGGATTAAACTGCAAGAGCGAAACGTTGCCTGAAATAAAAAG